ATCTTTGATTTTTACCCACAAGCTCTCAACCCAGTCATGGCTGTTCCTAAGACACAGCTCTTCACAATCTATCCATTATCTAACATAGAAGGCAACTCCACCACCCCTCCAACCTTGTCTATCCCTTCTGAAGAGCTTGTAGCCCTCAATCACAGTACACAAGTAATGAGAGTTGTCCCACCACGTCTACATGATAACAACCAGGTCATAATTATCCAAGCACATCATGGTTTTCAGCTTCTTCCACATATTTCCCATGCTGTGTGCATTAGTGTAAAGGCACTTGAGCTGGGTTTTCTCACACACTATCTTCATAGAGGGGCCATCCTTCAAACCTTGAAAAGAAATCTGAAGTTTTCTCCCGGTGCTTCCTAGAAGGACATGAGAAACTTACCTTAATCCTCTAAAGGGAAAATGGGATGAGTAAAAGTTTGTGCTTGAAAAAGGAAATCCACAAAAACCTATTTAACAAAAGTATTTGGGTGGAATGTCTTCCTGCTGAAATTCACATAGGTGAGGGGAATGAGGTCATATTTCTTGTTACATTCACAGTCAACTGGTGGAAAGCAGGGTCCCATATTTGGCAGTTTCTAGAGGATGGTCCCAGCTGCCAGGCTCAAAGATGACTCCTGCTTTCCCTGTATCCAGCAAATATATCACCTATTCACTCATGCTTCAAATAGAATCATAGAATCACCAGGTTGGAAAGGACCTACAAGATCATCTAGTCCAACCATCCTCCCACTACCATTGCTACCACAACCCACTAAACCATATCTCATAGCTCTTCATCCAGACACCTCTTGAACACTGCCAGGGACGGTGACTCCACCACTCCCTGGGCAGACCATTCCAGTGCCTGACCACTCTCTGAGAGAAAAAGTTTCTCCTCATGTCTAATCTAAATCTCCTCTGGTACAGCTTTCAGACATTTTTGGGTCCTGTTTATTGCTTGGAAGAGGCCAAACCCCTCCTCTCTTCAGGAAGTTGTAGAGTGCAATGAGGTCTCCTCTGAGCCTCCTCTTCTCCAGACTCAACAATCCCAGCTCCCTCAGCTGCTCCTCATAAGGCTTGTGCTCCAGACCCCTCACAGCTTCACTGTCCTTTACAGACACATTCCAGGGCCTCAGTGTCTTTCATGTAGTGCAGGACCCAAAACTGAACACTATACTCAAGGTGCAGCCTCACCAGTGCTGAATACAGGGGGATGATTACCTCTCTGCTTCTGCTGGCCACACTATTTCTAATGCAGACTGGGTGGCCTTCTTGGCCACCTGGGCACACTGTTGGCTCATGTTCAGACGAGCATCAACCAACTCACCTCTTTACAGTCATCCAGTCACTCATCCCCAAGCTTATAGTGCTGCATGGAGTTGTTGTGGCCAAAGTGCAGGACACGGCACTCACCGTGAGGCCCATTCACCTCAGCCCAGCAACTTGGCTTATCCAGATCCCTCTGAAGGGCCTCTCTACCCTCAAGCAGATCAAGGCCACCTCCCAACTTGGTGTCATCTGCAAACTTACTGAAGGTACACACAATCCCCTCATCTAGGCCATCAATGAAGATATCAAACAAAATGGAACCCAGAAATGACCCCTGGGGGACACCACATGTAAACTGCTCATCAGATTTAACTCCATTAACCACTATCCCTTGGGCACAACCCTCTAGTCACTTCCTTACCCAAAGAAGGGTATACCTGTCCAGGCCACAGGCAGTCAGTTTCCCCGCGAAAATATTGTGAGAGACCGTATCAAAGGCTTTGCTGAAGTCTAGGTAGACTACATCAACAGCCTTTCCCTCATCTACCAGGCTGGTGTCTCACTCCAATTTATAGGAGGGAGATGAGGTTCTTTTAATATCTGTATACTTGGCGTGAGATTAAGAAACAACGGCTCATATGTTAGTCTGACCAGTTTATTACAAATCCTAATCAGGGAGACGGGGAAGGGAAGGAGGGCGATAGAAAAGATAGGAAAGAAGCAAGAATTCTGTAAAGCGGGGATACTCACCACCAGGATGCAGCAGCGGTCCCATTGCGTGACGTTTTGAAGGTCCGAGGCAGAAGCAGCGGGGGGAGGGAGGAGGTGGGGGAAGGTAGCAGCAGCATGACTTGACTTGGGCAGCAAGCAGGAGGCAGTCGCAGAGCCAATGCGGGAGGAAGCAGCTCAGGCAGCAGGCCCAGGAGAGTTCATCAGGTAGCAGGAGAGCAGGAGAGCAGGAGGCAGTCACGGAGCCAATCTGGGAGGAAGCAGCAGCGCTCAGGCAGCAGGCCCAGAGTTCGTCAAGATGCAAGAATTCCATAGTGTGAGGAATCTGATGGCAGACACCTCTTCTTCTACTTCAGCACGCAGGCATCACTTCGTCAGGAATCTGTTGTCAGACACCTGTCCTCATGGTTTTCGATTCCTCTTTTATCTTACTTGTTCTCCTGCCTACCTGACATCCCTGGGCGCTTGAGCAAGAGTCATGTGAGTTCCCCCCTGAGATGGCCATCATCCTGAGATAAGTCCACACAAAAGACTGCTTCACAGCTATTAAGCTGCAGCTCATCTCTCCTTGCCCCTGGCCTTTTCCATCTGTGTCCCCCAGGCAAAGGATTTCACAACCCTTACCCAGGAATTGTCTTATCAATTTTTCCAGAGAAAGGATCTCACAACCTTTGCCCTGGACTTGCCTGGACTTGTTCATCTGTGTCCTTCAGACAAAGGATTTCACAACCCTTGCCCAGGACTTGTCCATTGAAGTTCTCCTGAGAAAGGATTTCTCAACCCCTGCCCAGGACTTGCCTGGACTTGTTCATCTTTGTTCCCAGCAAGCTTTGAGACACTGTTTGATTAACTGTTAACAGAATAATATCTTCCAGCTGGTCACCCTGTCATAGAAGATGAGGTTGCTCAACCACAACCTGCCTTTCATTAACCTGTGATGGCTGGGCCTGATCCCCTGGACGCCACGCACGTGCCGTGTGATCTCACCCAAGATGATTTGCTCCATAACTTTCCCTGGTACTGATGTTAGGCTGACTGGAGTTCCCCAGATCCTTCTTATGGCCCTTCTTGTAGATGGGGGTAACGTTGGTAAGCCTCATATGCCCTAGGAACTCCTCAGGATTGCTGACAGATGGCAGAAAGCGGCTTGGCAATCACCCCCGCCAGCTCCCTCAGCACCCAAGGGTGGAGCCCATCTGGTCCCATGGATTTGTGACAGTCCAGATGGAGGAGGAACCCTCTGTCTCCACCTGAATCACCGGAGGTGTATTCTGCTAAGCATTCCAGACTTCCAGATCAGGGCGTAAAGTGCCCTGCGGATAACTGATCTGCCTTTTAAAGACAGATGTAAAGGCGGCATTGAGGACTTCAGCCTTCACAGAATCATAGAACCACAGAATCATAATGGACCTCAAGGATCATGAATCTCCAACCCCCCTGCTACAGGCAGGGCCACCAACCTCCCTGTTTAATACTAGACCAGGCTGCCCAAGGCCCCATCCAATCTGGCCTTGAACACCTCCAGGGACAGGGCATCCACAACCTCTCTGGGCAGCCTATTCCAGCACCTCACCACTCTCACTGTAAAGAATTTCCCGACATCCAACCTAAGTCTCCCCTCCCTCAACTTAAATCCATTTTCTTTCTCTTTATCCTCAGTGATCACATTCCCTGCTGCATCAAGGAAAGGATGGAAATTCTCCTTGGTTCTTCTCTTACCATTGATTTATTTGTAAAAGGATTTCTTATTGTTTTTTACTGTAGTGGCCAATCTGAGTTCAAGTTGGGCTTTTGCCTTCCTAACTTCCATCCTGCGTACCTTAGCAGCCTCCTTGTAATCTCTCCAAGTAGCCTGTCCCTTCTATAGGACATAGACTCTTCCGGAGTCTCACTAGTAGTTCCCAGTTCATCCACACTGTTCTTCTTCCCCTGCAGCTTGCTGTATGGCATTCAGGAACAGCCTGTTCTTGTGCCTTTAAGATTTCCATCTTGAGGAGTACCAAGCCTTCCAGGACCCCTTAACACTTCAGGAGTGACTCCCAAGGGACCCCTGCAACAAGCATCCTGAACAGGTCGAAATCTGCCCTCTGGAAGTTCAAGATAGCATTTTTGTCAGTCACCCTTCTGACAACTCCAAAAATAGAGAATTTTACAATTTTGTGGTCGCTCTGCCCAAGACAGTCCCCAGCTTTCACATCTCCCACCAGTCGTTCTCTATTTGTGAAGAGCAGGTCTAGCAGGGCACCACCCCCGGTAGGCTCTCGTACCAGCTGTGTAAGGAAGCTATCTTCCACACACTCTAGAAACCTCTTGGACTACTTCCTCTGTGTTGTATTATATTTTCAACATATATCAGGGAAGTTGAAGTCTCCCATGATAACGAGTGTTGGCAATTGCACTACTTACACAAGCTGCTCACAGAATGCCTCGTTCTTCTCTTCATCCTGATTAGGTAGTCTATAACAGGCGATACAGATTATTTTGAACTCTCAGTTCCACTCTCTGCTTTTATGCACCTTGCATTTAAGAGATAAAATACAGAAATCATTCTGTAACATGAAGATTTTTAAGTCTGCACTGTCCACACCTCTGAGGGCATGAAGTAACAGCCATCAATTAGGTCTACAAGTCTTCCAGTCCAGGTCCTCCTTTGCATTGACTGATTTCAGTTACAGCATTAAGAAATCAGACTTTATCCTCATTCCATAGATTCTGGGGCAAAAGCTGTCCAGTTCCTGAGCATCTGGTGAGGAAATGCTTCGTTGACTGTCCTACAGAAGTGGAGGAACACACCCTGTGGTCTCCATTTCACAGCAGAGGAACTTAATAATAACAGTGGCAGATATAGTAAATTGGGATATCTAATGAAAAGGATGAACAAATCATACAGAACATCTAAGGTTAACTCTAGCTTCACTGTTCTAGTTAAATAGTATCAAAACCATATCCAAACTTTTATGTCATGTGTCTTTTAGGAAAATTAATTTATATTTTGTAGTCTGAACTACAAACATTGAAGTTCTGAGTCCCTTTAAAAAAATCCTCATTAACACAATGCTCCAGTTTTAGATTCAGCAGCAGCATTTATTTTGACAACCCCACATGATCTTTGTGACAGTCTGTGGTACTCCTGTTACAGCTTACACCATGGATTCTACTGTTTGTTTGTTCCACCATGTGTTGAAGACAAAGAATAGTACGAGATTTGCTTATAAGGGCACTACTGCAGCTTTTCTTAAAGGTATTTACAATGTAGACTTGCCTGGGAAGTCAGAGCCGTTTAGTTGAGCTGAGAACACTAACTGGTGTGATGTAAAAAGTGCAGACTTCAATGAAAGGGGAAACAACCACTTTTCTTCTTGAACTGAGTGTCACATCTATACATCTCTATCTATACACAGAACTGTTTGGAAGTTATGCAACAGAATAGAGACCTTCTCAGAAAAGGGCACCCTTGATGGGGAGAGCAGCTGAATTACAACTAAGCATAAAGCCTTCCTGCCACATTCTCCATTTCAGATTTCTGTCTGTGAGAAGCAGAGGGCTGGAATTAAAAGATGGGAATTCCTGGAGAGAGGAGATGAATGTATTTGGCCTATCTGTCCTGTCTTTCTGTCATTGCACTACCACAGCAGTGAGTGACAGACCACGTATTGCTTACCTTGCCTGTATGAGAACACAGTCAAGGTCCTAAGAGTTGCATTAGCAGAAGATATCACATGCTGACTTAGTGATAACATTCCCTCTTCCCCAGCCTGTTAGTGTTACTCCATTTTTATCACACAAGTCATTCTGAGAGTGAAAATATAAAAAACACTGAACTTTTTTACTTCAATGATCTAGATATATTGACACCTTTTATACAAATAAAAGCAAATTATAGCAGTACATTAACAAATTCTAATACAAAAAAGTGTACTTCATAAAATGTGATTTTTAAATGACAAAGCTCTACAGAAACATACAACTCCCTATAAAGACGTCCAGTCCACTGAGCAATGCTTGCTCAAAATATCATTATGAACTAAATATGCTCATAAGTATATTACCATTGAACTATACATTTGGATAAAACATTACTGAAACCAGAAGTGAAAACCTACTCATTACCAGTACATGTACAGCTCAAACGAGAAGCAGCCACCAGCGGAGCTCAGTACAGCCCCAGACTGGAGAAGCTCTGCCTTGCAGGTGGCCAATCACACCTTGCAAACATTCATCTGTCACATTAACAGTTTAGTGTTATCCATCAGTAGAATAGAAAGTAACCCAACTGTTGGCAGTAGGAAGTGAAGTCACAAGACACATCCAGATCACAGGCAATATGTTGCCTACACTAGAATTTTCTCTAAAAAAATGATTTTACCAAATAATCAAAATGTTTTCCTCTACTGCTCTACTTCACGTAAGTTTACTGCTTTGAGATTTTAAAATACGAAATGATTGAACCAGTTGAATTAAAAGTTATACAAAATGATCATCTATCAAACATTTACTTTATACATAAACATTTTTGAAACTGATTTACAGTGTACAATTAGTTATACAGCATAAGCAACCATTACAATATCATTTTTCCCTCAAACTGAAAGCAGCCAACAATGTCTGCTGTGTTGTTCAAAGGTCCTCGGTCACCAATCCTATTTTATCTCACCTCGCACTGTTCACATCCGTGTTGTCCCACTGAGTACCACAGGGTACATTTAATAAGCTGTACATTACTCTGTCTAACAATATGCTGCAAAACTGGTTAATGTGCAAGAAAAGCTCATTAACTCCAATGCCTATTTAAATACAACGTATCTACAATTTTTCCCAGAATGCTTGCGCTTCCTGAGCTAGACATAAAATACCTTAAAACAGGTTTGGACATGAATCTGAGACCCCATAAGCAAACTAAGATACCTAGAGAAAGAAGAAAAGCAAACCGCTTCTGGTAGCTCTCATTACTATTTGTTTGCACTCTAAATATACTTCAGATTGATCTAATAAACTGAATAAGATAAATTCAGTATTTTAATTTTCTAACCTATATTGTTATATATTGATCTTGCTTTTTACCACTTAATATAAACAATGTATACATTTCACAGCCTACTAAATTCTCCATATATTCTTAACCCTGTCACCTGGGTGACTGGACTTAATCATGCTATAGTCTGCAACAGAGCATGAAACTTGTGGGTTTTTTTTTTTTTGGCTTTTAATAACAAATCCAATTGTGTTCAGTATTAGTATTTAAATCAAAGAAGTTCAGGATATTGAAGTTATTTTACAGTTACATTTCAATGTTTTTTAATAGAAATTAAAAAACTCCCAATTTATCAATTAAAAAGAACATATCTAATCCATCATTGGATGCAGAAAGGTTTTAGAGATATTTATGATTTCTATTTTAAATTATTTGAATTTCACAAATTGTTTCTGAATGAAATCCTATCAAACGCTGCAGTGACTTACAATAATAAACTACAGTATCAATTAAGCTTATACAATAAATTACAAGACGGTAAGCATAAGGTGCTATTCCATCTGCCCTGAATTCTTTTCAGGATGTTACCACGTAGGCATCATGTCTGGGAACCAGACTCTACCGAGATGTTTTGAAACTTCCCAGTGGATCTGCTCTAAGCTGTATTTCTGGTCAGGAATCAGAACTTCCTCCATAATAGAAAGCTGTGAGAGACGGCCGCCACACATCTTCACAAACTCAACAAAGGCACTGCAAGAGACTTCACACTCTCCTAGGCCAACAGCTGACAAATACTTGCACCGCTCTGCGATACGGATCAACTCCTCATCCAGTGGCCGTAATCCATTGGCGCACACGACCAATTCAACCAACCGAGGACACGTCATCCCAACGCGGCCAAGTACATCTTTGCTTACCGATCTTCCAAAGTAAAGGTGAGTGACAGGTATTTCATAGCGAAAGAATGGGTCAAACTCTTCTTCATACAAGAAAAAATACATGACTAAGTTCACTTTAGGAGAATGCTTGATGAAAGCGTCCCAGCTGCTCTTCTGAATTGTGTGGAACTGAGTCTGTCCAGGATTTTCACTGACAACATCGATGCGCAAGTGTTCTAATCTGACATGTTTTTCAGAAGACAAGGCGAGCAGCAGCTCATCGCTCAGCAGATGGTAGTTGAGCGCCAACTCACGTAAACCATGACACTGATCAGCCACACAAAGGATTCCTTGCAAAGCAGAACATTACGGAATGGGTTATACAGGTAAATATACCAGTACTTGAATAAGAAACATAAGAATTTGTTTCTGTATATCAAAAAGTTGCAAAGAATATGCATTTCAATATAGAATCATTATGCGATATCAAAATTAAATCTTACTGGACAACCAAAACATGAATCTTTTGTCACGTGACCAATGTCTTGTGACTTCTTTGTGCAAAGTAAGATATACATATATTATGTGTTGTATACTTTCCCTTGGGAGTTGATTCTTGTATGTGGCAAACATAAGATTTACATACTCTTAACTGTTCCATCCTGCCGTAAGTCTATCTATAAGTGCAAGTTCATAATAAATCACAGAATCATACAATGGCTTGGGTTGGAAGGGACCTCAAGGATCATAAATCTCCAACCCCCCTGCCACAGGCAGGGCCACCAACCTCCCCATTTAATACTAGACCAGGCTGCCCAGGGCCCCATCCAGCCTGGTTTTAAACACCTCCAGGGATGGGTCATCCTCCTTGGGCAGCCTGTTCCAGCACCTCACCACTCTTATCATAAAGAACCTCCCCTGATATTTAACCTAAATCTTCCTTCTTTCAACTTAAAACCATTTCCCCTTGTCCTGCTGTTCTCTACTATTTCATAGATTTGAGTCCCCTACTGTTCGCAGGCTCCCTTTAGGTACTGGAAGGCTACAATGAGGTCACTCTGCAGCCTTCTCTTCCCCAGGCTGAATAAGCCCAGCCCCTTCTGCCTGTTTTCATAGGGAAGGTGCTCCAGCCCTCTGATCATCTTTGGGGCCCACCTCTGGACCCTCTCCAACAGCTGTCTTTCTTGTACTGGCGGTGCCAGACCTGGACACAATATGCCAGATGGGACCTCACAGGGGCAGAATAGAAAACGACAATCACCTCCCTCTCTCTGCTGGCCACCCCTCTTCTGATGGAGTCCAGGATGTCATTTGCTTTCTGAACTGCAAGAGCACACTGCTCGCTCACATTCAGTTTTTCATCCACCAAGACCCTCAGGTCCTTCTCTATAGGGCTACTCTCAAAGATTGCTCCTCCCAGTCAGCATATATACCTGGGATTCCTCCAGCCCAAGTGCAAAACCTTGCACTTAGCTGTGTTAAACCTCATTAGATTCACCCACTCTGGAAGCATATTGCCCATGACTATATTTGACCAAGCAGCCAAGAACAAAATCTGACTGCCACCCAAGGAACAGATATTTAATGAATGCTACATTTTCATTAAATACAGAAGATACAGGGTAAGTTCAATACTGATCATCTTCATCCCAGCAGCAGTGGGGTCTCTTTTTCACTACTCAAACTACTTCTCTGTCCTGCACTATTGTTAAGAACACAATTCTTAAGAACTGATCTAGTACCAAACATCTACTCCCCCTCAAATCTGCACTTTGAAGACACATTATACATTTCAAGTGTATTAGCAAGTGACTGCTTTTGTGCAACTCATCACCTTTTTGATTCAGTTCAAGTTCTTCAACAGTTCGTAGCAATCTAATAATAATAACAGTCCCATGAGAAAAAAAAAAATCACTAGATCATAGAAGGAGATCAGGTTGGTCAAGGAGGACCTGCCCTTCATGAACCCATGGTGGCTGGGCCGGATCACCTTGTTGTCCCGCACATGCTGTGTGATTAGGGGACGGATTTGAGTCCGGTCTTGTTTAACATTTTCATCAATGATCTTGATGAGGGGATAGTGGCCACCCTCAGCAAGTTTGCTGATGATATGAAGTTGGGAGGATTGGCTGACATGCATTAAGGCTGTGCTGCCATTCAGTGAGACCTGGACAGGCTGGAGAGCTGGGCAGAAAAAAAACGGATGACGTTTAACAAAAGCAAGTGTAGAGTCTTGCATCTGGGGAGGAATAATTACAAGTACTGGTACAGGCTGGGGGATGAGCTGCTGGAGGGGAGCTCTGCAGTGAGGGACCTGGGTGTCCTGGTAGATGACAGGTTGGCCATGAGCCAGCAGTGTGCCCTTGTGGCCAAAAAGGCCAATGGCATCCTGGGATGCATTAATAAGAGCGTGTCCAGCAGGTCGAGGGAGGTGATCCTCCCCCTCTACTCTGCCCTGGTAAGACCTCATCTGGAGCACTGCGTCCAGTTCTGGGCTCCCCAGTACAAAAAAGACAGGGATCTCTTGGAAACAGTCCAGCAGAGGGCCACGAAGATGGTGAAGGGCCTGGAGCATCTCTCTTATGAAGAAAGGCTGAGTGAACTGGGCCTGTTCAGCCTTGAGAAAAGAAGACTGAGAGGGGACCTGATCCAGGTCTATAAATATCTAAGGTGTGGGGGGCAGAGTGGCAAGGCCAGACTCTTTTCAGCAGTATGTGGAGACAGGAGAAGGGGAAACAGCCGGAAACTGGAGCATATGAAGTTCCACACAAATGTGCCCAAGAACTTCTTTACAGTGAGGGTGACGGAGCGTTGGAACAGGCTGCCCAGGAAGGTTGTGGAGTCTCCTTCTCTGGAGATATTCAAGACCCACCTCCACGCCTACTTGCAACCTACTGTAGGGAACCTGCTTTGGCAGGGAGGTTGGAGATTCATGATCCTTGAGGTCCCTTCCAACCCCTACGATTCTGTGATCTCCCTCAAGACAATCTGCTCCATAACCTTCCCTGACACCGAGGTCAGGCTAACAGGCCTGTAGTTTCCCGGATCCTCCTTACAACCCTTCTTGTAGATGGGAGTCGCACTGGCAAGCCTTCTGGGACCTCACCAGTCAACAAGGAGTGCAGATGGATAATGGCAAGCAGCTCAGCTATCTCCTCTGCCAGTTCTCTCAGTACTCTCAGGTGAATCCCATCTGGCCCCATGGACAGATCAGCTGGAGTAGTAGGTCTCTGACTGAGTCCTCCCAAATTGCGGGGGGTCTGTCTGCACCCCAGTCGAGACTACCAGGTCAGAAAGCGGAGTACCCCGAGGATAACTGGTCTGACCTTTAAAGACAGACGTAAAGAAGGCATTCAGAACCTCTGCCTTTTCCTTATCCTCAGTGATCACATTCCCAGCCTCATCCAGTAAAGAATGGAGATTCTCTTTAGTCCTCATCTTACTGTTGATGTATTTATGTAAGAGTTTCTTGTTCCTTTTTACCCCAGAAGCCAGGTTGAGTTGAACCTGGACTTTTGCCTTTCTGATTTTCTCTCTACACATCTTAACAACTTCTCTGTACTCTGAGTTGCCTGTCCCTTCTCCCACAGGAGATAGATTTTCTTTTTCTCCCGGAGCCTCAAGAATAGCTCCCTATTCATCCATGCCGGTCTTCTTCCCCATGGCTCATTTTCTGGCTCGGGGGACAGCCAGCTCCCGTGCCTTTAAGACTTCCTTCTTGAAGAATGACCAGCCACCTTGGACACCTTTCTTAAGATTGGAACATAGGGGATTCCCCCTACTAGCCTTCTGAATAATTGAAAGTCCGCCCTCCAGAAGTCCAAGGTAGCAGTTTCGCTGTTCCCCCTCCTGGCTCCACCAAGAATCGAGAACTCTACCATTTCATGGTCACTCTGTCCAAGACAGCCCCTGGCTTCCACATCTCCCACCAGATTTTCTCTGTTTGCGAGCAGCAGGTCTAGCAGGGCAGTTCCTCTTGTCGGCACTCTCACCAGCTGCATCAGAAAGTTACCCTCCATACACTCCAGAAACCTTCTAGACTGCTTCTTCTGCATTGTGTTGTATTTCCAGCATATGTTGGGGAAATTGAACTCCCCCATGAGCACAAGGGCTGGCGACTGCACAGCTTCCACCAGCTGCTTGTAGAATTCCTCATCTGCCTCTTCATCCTGGTTCGATGGTCTGTAGCAGACATCCACCAGGAAGTCTGCATTGTCAGCTCTTCCCCTGATCTTTACCCATAGGGGTTCAACCTTATTAACCCCAGCCTCAAGTTCAATGACATCAAAGCACTCTCTAGTATAGAGAGCCAGGCCACCACCCCTCTTTCTTTGCCTATCCCTTCTGAAGAGTTTGTAGTCAGCCATTGCAGCACTTCAGTCATGAGAGAGGTCCCACCATGTTTCCGTAATGGCAACGAGGTCATAGTTAACCTGGCGCACAGTGGCTTCCAACTCCTCTTGTTTGTTGTCCATGCTGCATGCATTGGTGTAGATGCACTTCAGCTAAGCCCCTCACCTCACCCCTAATCCCATTACCATTCCTCCAGGCTCATTTCTAGCAGGCCTGGTTTTATCCCTTTCCCCCTTCCGATCTAGTTTAAAGCCCTCTCTACAAGTCTCACCAACTCCTGGGCAAGGATCCATTTCCCCCTTTAGAATAGGTGATACCCATCGGCAGCCCCCATACCAAGTGCCAAGTAGACAGCCCCATGATGAAAGAACCCAAAATCTTTACGCTTGCACCAGCATCTCAGCCATGTGTTTATAAGGTGAGTTTTCCTGCTTCTCTCAGAGTCCTTCCCCACCACCATAGGAATAAAGGCAAATACTACTTGTATGCCTGCTCCATCAACTAACTTCCCCAGTCCCCTAAATCATTTTTTATAGTCCTCAGGCTTCTGTTAGTGACCTCATCACTGCCAGCCTGGACTATCAATAGAGGATAATAATCAGAGGGGCAGATCAGACTAGGAAGTTTTCCAGAAATATCCTTGATCCAAGCCACAGGGAGGCAGCACACTTCCCTATGGGTAGGAGCAGGCCAACATATTGGGCACTCAGTTCCTCTCAGAAGAGAGTCACCTATGACTATCACCCTCCTTTCTTTACTGAAGGAGGCAGTCTTTTAAGGAGAGGTGGTCGGCTCCATGCTTGAAAAGCTTGGAGGCAATCCTCCCACCTCATTCTCAGCCACCTCACCCTCCAGTTTCAGGGCTTCAAACCTATTACATACAGGCACCTGGGTAACCAAGGTAGGTCAGGATGGGCACTGCCTGCATCTCTGAGCTGCGACCTGCTGCTATTCCTTCTCTCTTCTCAAGTTGGCTCTCTCGGTTTGACTACGGCAAGGGACAAGGTCCACTACAGTCTGGGGGTTGCAATCTCTGCTTCTTTCTGGCAGAGTCACACCACCAGTCTATCTCCCTCTCATGCTCTCTGATGGTTCTTAATCTCTCTACCTCCTTTCTAAGCTCTACCACCAGGCTGAGCAGTTCGTCCACCTGCTTGCACCTCACTCAGGTGTCATCCTTCCCATCCTCTCCCAGCAGCAGCAGGCTCAGGCATTCCCTGCAGCCGGAGACCTCAACCATCACATTTCTGGGCAGACCCTCTGTCTGGGTTGCCACAGTCTTCTTGGGGCAAGCCTGCTGTCTGGCAGAGACCATGTTTGAACCTGGGGTCTCCAGGTCTGTCAGCAGGAGAGTGGTCTCCTAAGCTAAGACAAAAACACTGACATGCCGTGCCACAAGACCAACCTCTCACATGTACTGATACAGTAATCAGCAGTGTGGGCTGCACTCACACTCTGACTTCCCTCCCTGTTATGGGTGGACAGTAAAACCCTTTTCTTACCTGGCACGCTAGGTGAGCGGAAGCTAGATTCTGCCCTCCCGAGGGCTGCTTTTAGCCTCGCAGAAAAGGGTCAAGGTCAAGCTCAGAGGTAAGAGAGGGCATTGCTGGCTCCACCCCAGCTGACTCAGCAGCCTGCCCACAAGCTGCCAGCTGCTGCCAGCCCCCCGGCACCAACGCAGTGCTTTTGTTGGCTTCAAAAAAGCCACAGAAAGAGCTTTCTGGTCAGCCTTTTGCTTTAGGTTCCTTACCCAGTGCAGTCTTACCTGCCCTGAAGCTGGTCTCTGCAGCAATGACCATTTCACAAGGTAGTAGGGTGTTTAAGCTCAACCCTAAACTCAACCCACACTATTTTTTTCAGGGGCTCATTAGATTTGACCAAATTGAAAGCATACAGTAAAACAAACAAAACAGTTGCTTACCAGCTGGAGACACATGAGGACAACTACTCATTTTCAAGAGTTTGAGCGTGTCACTGTTGTTAGCCACTAGCACTTTGAGAGACGGATCATCTACTGGTGTATCATCGATCTTAAGTGAAGAGAGTGACTTGGAGTTTACGAACACCACTGTCAGTGCAGAAATAAAGTGAGACTGGAAAAGAAAGTTTAAATGAAACACTGGTATCTGAAAAATCTTAGCAGTTTTGTGCTGTATATAGTTGTATACAATATCCTGACTTACAGTAACTGCTGAAAGTCTTTAACCTGATATCACAATCAAAAATAGTATACATTTTTCATTAAGGAAAAGTTTAATAACTTTTCTGATCATATTAATTATTTGGCAAACCAGAATGTCTAACATAAAACAGAGAAAAACCTGAGAAACTGACCCAGTACAATCCACTATGTAAAATTCAAGCTATAGGAAAACCACAACAAAAGAGAAAGCATATAAACTCTAAATTTAGATAATAATTTAGAAGCAGTGCTCTTAAAGCAGCATCTGAGTAAAAATTCCCATGCAGTGTGAGTTAGGCTGCATTGATGAGATGCACTCAAGAGCGGCAAGCCTGTACTGTTGTTACATGTGCCCAAAGGCAAATGGTACTACTGGCTGGCAGAGTACATAGGGTAGGAATGAATCTTAGAAAGCTGACAGGAGTGGTTCACAGCCAAGGAACAGATGATCAATTATTTATGCTACTTAACCAGTAGTTAGTGTAATGCATCTCTGGGTAACAACTGAAAATCACTAGTAAAGAAAGACTGCCCAGAATGCCTTCACTTGAAAAATCATGGAAAAAGGAGCAGACTTCTGGTACGATGGAAGTGAGTAACTAGCTTATAATCACGATTTCTTAGATTTATTGAAGAAGTAAAGAAAATACATCTCCTATGCATTATATTAACTACTCCACAAATGTACCTGTTACTTTGATTCCAGCATCGTTTCTGGATTGTTCATGTTGCTCGAACTGAATTCAGTTATATGGAAAGGCTTGGCAATGGTACTGCTCATTCTTATACAATGTGCTTTTTGTTACATTTAGAACAAGAATACTTTCAAATTAAATAAACCAGCAACGTCAGTTCACGTAAATGAAAACTGAATGTTCAGATCAGAAGCATGAGGCTTTAGGCACCACTCCCAAGTACACTGACAATACTCTGATTACGTATGCTACAGACCAAGGAGAAAAAGATGCTTACTGATATTCTCACTTTGTATTCAGAAAGTGCTGGTACTGTGTTTGATATACTCTGGATTTAAAATGTAACCTCCTCTAAGAAGGATACTGAAAAGAAAAATGAAATGAACTCAAGAAAATCAGCTCATCTGAAACCACAGTTCAAAGACTTAACAGAAGACAGGCAATAGCTCTTCGCGTCGTAAACACCACAAGGCATTTTATTCTCAAGAGTTGATTTAGGCGCATCTTGAATATATTTTTAGAAGGAACACGTGAACCTATTGGTAATAAAAAGGAAGTCTGTATTTTAGAAGAACTGACACTTCATAAGTCTACAGCATGAATGACTACAACTGATTCTTTAGCTTGTAGAACACAACTCCAGGGGAAAACACAGAAAAGCTGAAGTAGCATTCCGATCAAGAATAAAATATGCAAGAGCTGAATGGACAAAATATTGTTAAACACATTAAGACAAAGTATTGTTCGCACTATGCTTAGGTTTCCTAACGGTCACGTCTCAAAGCACACTGAAAGAAAAAAAGGTACAAAAAAACTCAAAGATCTGAAAAACGTCTTCGAAAATTAAGGATTAAAAACACATATTCAAGAAAAGTGCATGACACGTCTGTGATCACTAACAAGGATAATAATTGATAATCCTTCTGCAGCTAACCTCGCTTAAACCCTATATCCTACTTATTTTCCTGAGGTTGTCCCTACCTCTTCCTTGTCCTTGTTGACATCAGCAATGACATCATCTTATCCAGCTAACAGCCTAATTTTAACTGGCTCTTGACATACATGTGGGCTAGATTCAAGAATTGAGGCTGATAGACATCCATGATGTTCTTGCATAGAACTGCCCAGGTTACCACAGCTGCCCCTCAGCTCCTCAGCAACAGAATCCTTCTACTTCACTAGCAGGACTGCTTGTTTAGAAGCATATAAGAGGGGATTACTGGGTGGTTTATTTTTTTATTTTATTTTATTTTTTTACTTCTAGATAACAGACCTTCTAATGCAATCTAGTTTTGGATAAACAAGCCAGGTTAAAAAAAAAGTCTGTGAGATTTCATAGATACGATGCAGTTTGCTTCTGAATCAAGCACTTAACTATGTGACATCAAGTAATAAATATTTCCTTAAAGTTATATGAATGTAAAAATTATACTTACCAATGGCTGTAATTGCTACAGCAAGCTCCCACAGATTAAACTCTACCTCTTCGATTATAATCATTCTCCTAGTAAGTCCTCTAGGCTAATGACTTACAGCATGTTGCCCAAAGCTAACAGACAGGAATACTTAGAACAAGATCTGAACTAGCATCCCATGTGATGCAGAGAATGAATGAAATTTCAGTTACCCATCTTAGTAGATCATCTCAGTTCTTTCCCTTAGTTGAGCACAATAAAGTGGTTTTTTTTGTTTGTTTGTTTTGTTTTTTTTTTTTTTGCCGAAGGCTCATTTTTACAACATAGCTTTTCACAATACTCTATGAATCACTGCAATATTTTTCTACAAAAATTTACATGCATTCAAATACCTTTGGTAAATCCATGAAGCTTGGCCGGGCAGTTGAAATTAGTCCAAGAGTTTTCAGAGAGCAATTCACAAGCTGCGATAAAATATCACAAGCTGCTTCTGCAGATTCCTTGCTACTGTCCACCTTAAAACAGAAGTAAATGTACTGAATCAGAAAACACTGCATCAAAATACAACCCTTACTGACATAAAGCAACTCTGTTTTCCATGGTTTTTTTTCTGCTTTATTTTCTGTCATACGATGGTAAAAAAATGCACTGGAATTTCACTTATGTCCTGTTTTATTTTTCTCTAAAAGACAGACATCAAAAATCCAATATAATTTGCTATCAATTTAGCAGGTTACTAAATATTCCGGTAAGATTTTGCATGATGAGAGACTAACTACACAGTCTGTTCCAAAGCATTTAATCCATATAAAATAAAAAATACATGAAGATTCTTTTGGCTCCAGAACCTATCAATGTGTTTTCTTTGTTATCAAAATGTGGGAATACTATAAACTGTCCTCTGTGCAAGAAAGCAGCTTGCTTCCTTTATGGTGACACAGCTCATAGAAGAGCTTCTGGAGAATTAAGTACACTATTATTTGAAGCTATAAAGTTAGGTCTCCACCATTAATACCACAACAGTTATGCTATGGATATCCTGTAAAGCTTGTTACAAAATTTAATCACTTAATGTACTTCCAGTCAATTTCCCCTAACACGTACAGATATGCTTCCAGAACAGCCTTGTACGTACAAATCTCATGACAGCTATGTAAGCCCACGTAACCACAAGATCAATTTTAGGCCTATCACAAGCCATGCTAACATGCCAGCAACTGGTTTAGATCTGATAAACATTCATTTTCCATTTGAATAGTAAGATGAGGACTAAAGAGAATCTCCATTCTTTACTGGATGAGGCTGGGAATGTGACCACTGAAGATAAGGAGAAGGCAGAGGTTCTGAATGCCTTCTTTACGTCTGTCTTCGAAGGTCAGACAAAGTATCCTCAGGGTACTCCACTCTCTGGCCTGGTAGTCTCGACAGGGGTACAGACAGAACCCCTGGGATTCGGGAGAACTCAGTCAGAGACCTACTACTCCAGCTGAACTGTCCATGGGGCCAGATGGGATTCACCTAAGAGTGCTGAAATAACTGGCAGAGGAGATAGCTGAGCTGCTTGCCATTATCCATAGAATCATAGAATCACAAGGTTGGAAACGACCTATAGGATCATCCAGTCCAACCGTCTCCTCATCACCATTGCCACCACTAGCACTAAACCGTATCACGCAGCACGTCATCCAGACACCTCTTGAAGGGACACTTCCAGGGACAGTGACTCCACCACCTTCCTGGACAGCCATTCCAGTGCCTGACCACTCTCTGAGAGAAAAAGTTCTTCCTTATGTCCAACCTAAACCTCCTCTGATACAACTTGCGGCCATTGCCCTGTGTCCTGCTTGTTGCCTGGGAGAAGAGGCCAAATCCCTCTTCACCACAACCTCCCTTCAGGAAGCTGTAGAGTGCAATGAGGTCTCCCCTGAGCCTCCTCCAGACTGAACAATCCCAGCTCCCTCAGCCACTCCTCATAAGACTTGTGCTCCAGACTCCTCACCAGTTTTGTTACCCTTCTCTGGACACGCTCCAGGACCTCAACATCTTTCCTGTAGTGAGGAGCCCAAAACTGAACACAATACTCGAGGTGCGGCCTCACCAGTGCTGAGTACAGGGGGATGATCACCTCCCTGCTTCTGCTGGCCAAGTTTCTAATGCAGGCCAGGATGCCATTGGCCCTCTTGGCCACCTGAGCACACTGTCAGCTCATGTTCAGCCGAGCATCAACCAACGCCCCCAGGTCCTTCTCTTCTTCACACTCATCAAGCCACTCACCCCCAAGCCTATAATGCTGCATGGGGTTGTTGTGCCCAAAGTGCAGAACTCAACACTTGGCCTTGTTAAACCTCATCCCATTCACCTCAGCCCAGCGGTTCAGCCTGTCTAAATCCCTCTAAAGGGCCGCCTTACCCTCTGGCAGATCAACACCACCTCCCAGCTTGGTGTCATCTGCAAAATTCCTGAGGGTGCACTCAATGCCCTCATCTAGGTCATCAATAAAGATATTAAACAAGATGGGCCCCAGTACCAACCCCTGGGGGACACCACTTGAAACAGATCGCCAGCTGGACTTCATTCACCACGACCCTCTGGGCACGGCTTTGTAGCCAGTTCCTTACTCAAAGAAGTGTATATCTGTTCAGACCACAGGCAGCCAGTTTCCCCAGAAGAAGCCTGTGAGAGACCATGTCAAAGGCTTTGCTGAAGTCTAGGAAGACTACATCAACAGCCCTTTCCTCATCTACCAGACTAGTCACCCAGTCGTAGAAAGAGATGAGGTTGGTCAAGCACGACCTGCCTTTCACGAAACCGTGCTGGCTGGGCCTGATCCCCTGGACACTGCGTACATGCTGTGCAATCTCATCCAAGATGATCTGCACCATAACCTTTCCCGGTACTGAGGTCAGGCTGACAGGCCTACAGTTCCCCGGATCCTCCTTATGGCCCTTCCTGAAGATGGGAGTCACATCAGCAAGCCTCCAATCCTCTGGGACCTCACCAGTTAACCAGGAGCATTGATAGATGGCCGAGAGGGGCACAGCAATCACCCCCGCCAGCTCCCTCAGCACCCAAGGGTGCAGCCCATCCGGTCCCATGGACTTGTGACAGTCCAGACGGAGGAGGAGCTCTCTGACTGTCTCCACCGGAACTGCTGGGGGCATATTCTGAGCAGCATCCCAGACTTCCAGATCGGGGCATAAAAAGCCCAGAGGATAACTGATCTGGCTGTTAAAGGCAGATGTAAAGAAGGCATTGAGGATCTCAGCCCTCTCCTTGTCCTCAGTGGCCACATTCCCTGCTGCATCAAGTATAGGATGAGAATTATCTTTGATTCTTCTTTTCCCGTTGATATATTTATAAAAGGATTTTTTATTGTCTTTTACCGCAGAGGCCAACCTGAGCTCAAGTTGGGCTTTTGCCTTCCTAACTTCCTCCTTGCATACCTTAGCTACTTCTTTGTAATCTCCCCAAGCAGCCTGCCCCTTCTTCCAGAGGAAGTAGACTCTCTTTTTCTCCTTGAGTCTCAACAGTAGTTCCTGGCTCATCCACACCGGTCATCTTCTCCTACAGCTCTCCTTACGGCACGCAGGGACAGCCTGTTCTTGTGCCTTTAAGATTTCAGTCTTGAGGAGCGTCGAGGCTTCCTGGGCCCCTTTACCCTTGAGAAGCGACTCCCAAGGGACCCGTGCTACAAGCTCCCTGAACAGGTTAAAGTCTGCCCTCTGGAAGTTCAAGAAGGTAGTTCTGCTGGCCACTCTTTTGACATCCCCAAGAATGGAGAATTCTACAATTCTGTGGTCACTCTGCCCAAGACAGTCCTCAGCTTTCACATCTTCCACCAGTCATTCTCTATTACTGAAGAGCAGCTCTAGCAGGGCACCAACCCTGGTAGGCTCTCCTACCAATTGCGTAAGGAAGCAATCTTCCACGCAGTCTAGAAACCTCCTGGACTGCTTCCTCTGCGCTATATTTCCAACATACATCAGGGAAGTTGAAGTCTCCCATCAGAACAAGTGCTGGCGATTGCGTGACTTCTGCGAGCTGCTCATAGAATGCCTCATCCAACTCTTCGTCCTGATTAACCTGTCCTCGGTGCCAGGGAAGGTTATGGACTGTCTTGAGGGAGATCACAGAATCGTAGGTGCTGGGAGGGACCTCAAGGATCAAGAATCTCCAACCTCCCTGCCAAAGCAGGTTCCCTACACCAGGTTGCAAGTAGGCATTGAGGTGGGTCTTGAATTATTTCCAGAGAAGAGACTCCACAACCTTCCTGTGCAGCCTGTTCCAGCGCTCCATCATCCTCACCTTAAAGAAGTTCGTGGGCACAATTGTGTGGAACTTCATGTGCTCCAGTTTCCGGCTGTTTCCCCTTCTCCTGTCTCCACATACTGCTGAAAACAGTCTGGCCTCGCCATTCTGCCTCCCAGATTCCTCCGGCCCAAATGCAGAACTTTGCACTTTGCAGTGTTGAACCTCATCAAGTTCACTCAGGCCCACCTTTCAAGCCTGTTGAGGTTCCTCTGAATGGCATCCCTTCCTTCCACCGTGTCAACTGCACCACTCAGCTTGGTGTCATCAGCAAACTTGCTCAGGATGCACTCGATTCCAGCACCAATGTCATTGATAAAGATGTTAAAGAGCACCGGTCCCAAGACAGATCCCTGGGGAATGCCGCTCATTACCAACCTCCACCAGGACATACAGCCATTGATGACCACACTCTGCCTGCTGCCTTTCAACCAATTTCTTATCCATCTAGTGGTCCACACATCAAATCCACATCCCTCCAGTTTGGAGATAAGGATGTGGTGGGGGACCATGTCAAAGGCCTTGCTCAAGTCCAGCCAAATGACATCGGTTGCCTTGCCCTTGCCCACCAATGCCATCACTCCATCATAGAAGGCCACCAGACTGGTTAAGCATGACCTTCCCCTGGTGAAGCCATGCTGGCTGTCTCGGATCACACACTTATTCCTCATGTGATCAAGCATGTCATCCAGGAGGATCTGTTCCATGATATTCCTAGGCACAGAGGTGAGGCTCACTGCCCTGTAGTTCCCCGGGTCCTCCTTGCTCCCTTTCTTGTATATGGGAGTGACGTGAGCCTTCCTCCAGTCATCTGGGACCTCATTGGAGAGCCACGACTTCTCAAATATGATGGACAGTGGCTCAGCAACCACCTCAGCCAGCTCCTTCAGAACCCAGGCATGACACCATCTGGCTCTATAAGCTTGTACATGTTCAGTCTCGTGAGGCGATCTCAGATCTGCTGTCCTCACAGTAGAGGGGGGTGGGGGGAATTTACCACCCCAGTCCTCACCTAAAGGTTTGCGGACACGGGGCTCAGGGACGTGAGAAGTACTGGAATCCTGGCTACCAGTGAAGACTGAGGCAAACAACTCATTCAGTACCTCACCCTTCTCTTAGTCCATTGAAGCCAGTTGTCCTTTTACATTTACCAAAGGAGGTACACTCGCTTTGGCCTGTGTCTTCTGTCCAATGTACCTGTGAAAGTCCTCCTATTGTTTTTCACATCCCTTGACAAGTTCAGTTCTGCCTGCGCTTGGCTTTC